GAAGGCAAAAAGTAATAAAAAAATTGGTACCTACCTATATTCTTTAGAAAACTTTTCAAGAAGAAACTTTTCATAAACCTATTTTTTTACAATATTAGATATGCCTACACTTTATTAATTATATTAAATATGTAATAACTAGTATAAGTTGATTATTTCTGATTGTTAGATCTATTTAGTGTGGCTTAAGTTTATTTATTACATATTTTCTGAGGACAGAGGCGCTGTTTGCTGAAATACAGGTATCATCCAAGTTCAGCAACATAATTATGATAAATAGATAATAATAAAAAAATATATTATAAGAATCACTGGTGTCAAAATTCAATGTATCATTTATATAGTCAATAAAGATTATTCATTTCTTATTCATTTTTCCTTTAGTTTCCCGTTCGTTAATGTGTTATTTACCTGGAAAGGATTCGGCGTGAAGATGTTTAGATAGAAAGAATATTCTTTACACACAAAATTTCTTTACTGTACCTACTCACAAAATAGTGCTCTCTCTTTTTCTTATTTGGGATCTGTATTTCTCCCTGAAAGAACTCGACGCTTTCAAGGGAAGTGGCATCGATCCCTTGGTGACATAACCCAACTTAACGAAAGTGGCCAAATGAGAGTAGCACTAGCACATGAAGGTTTTTTTTTATTATTATTATCTATAAAAACGCAATAAATCACGTTTGTTGTGGCTCCCACACAACATTTATTTTTAATATTTATTTATTTTATTTTATTCTGTTTTTAGAATTCTGTTATAGCGCCAATAGAAATACATACTCTGTAAAAATTTCAATTGTCCAACTATACAGTTCATGAGAATACAGCCTGGGGGCAGACGACCAGACAGCAGACGGACGGACGGAGAGAAGGCTAAAAAATCAAAAATATTTCTTAAAAAAATCATTTCAAGTCGAGCGGTTAAATGTATATCCTCACCCGAATTCAAATAAAGTTTTAATTTGTTAATAACATATTATATATCACACCTATTAATTTTCAATTTACAATGCTATACTGAACAATATTCTTAATGAAAAATGCTTAAAAATAACATTGATGAAAATACGCTCTGTAGTACCGAAAAAGTAACAAGTGTTTGAAAAATTTATCATCCTGTTAGGTCATATACTGAAACACCTTCTTAAAACTGTATTATAGTTTTTTTTTTTATTAAAAACGCTTAAAAAATCCACTATGTCCCTGGCACTCTGAGATGGGACTCGCACCCATGACCTTTCGCTATCCGGGTGACTGCTCTAACCACTGAGCTACCCAGGACCTAACAGGATGATAAATTTTTCAAACACTTGTTACTTTTTCGGTACTACAGAGCGTATTTTCATCAATGTTATTTTTAAGCATTTTTCATTAAGAATATTGACGGATAGTGAACTATCCGTCCGTTCATCCGTCTGTTTACTAAGCTATATCTCCTGAACCGTGATAGTAAGACAATTGAATTTTTACAATAAATACTAAAAAAATAATAAAGTAAATATTTAAGAGGGAAACAAACGTCAATTTTTGCTTGTTTCCGGTACGGCACTCTACGCGCGCGAGTCTGCTTCCCACTTGGAAGATATTTTTTTTCTACTGATATATCTTTATTTTCTTTTCAAGTCATAGAGAAAATTTCCACAGAAACAAAGTTGGCATTTAATTGCCTATTTCACTGCGACATGTACGCTGTTGATCCTATTTACTGTTGTGTTGTCATTCTATTATAATCATAACAGTATGCTTTCATTGGCTGAGATCTTGTAAACAAAATTCTCCGCAAGGCCATGAGCCATGCCGGTTGCGGAAAAGTCATTCGTAGATAACAACTTACTTTACTAACTTGACTCTAAAAATGTTGTTATTTTAAAATAACCGGTTAAAAATATACGGCAAAGCTTTGCTTGACAGTCAAAACCCAAACAAACGACCTATGAAGTAAAGTTTCTAACTTTGTCTGATTATTTGTAGGAATTACTGAGACAAAAATGAAATAAAATTGCATAGAGGCTTGTCATAATGCTATCCCGCTCCTTACCCCAAAGAAGTTTATAGTAATATTTACCCTTCTTCCTTGCTTTGCTACTGTACCGAGAGTGCACAAAAAACTTACGCGCTATTTAAAAACAAAATGTCAGTTTCATCATAAAACACCATATAGGTTTTTACCGATTTAGATATCTCAGTACTAAAACCTTACCTATTATTTGTTCTGTATTTCATTTGTGTCCATATAACTCCAAACCATATAGAATATTATAAATTCATGAATCTTGAAAATTTGCCATTAAATGAAGTACCGTATATTTTAAACTGATCACAACAAATATTTGCAGTTTAATTAAAAACTAAAAGTACTTCATATCATCCAAGGTATCACTTACATTCTCCTCAAATAAGAACCGAAACCGGGACCGCAGAGATAGACCTTGAAATTAGAGTATGAGATCATTAACATAAAGATGTCATTCATGGTTTAATAATGAAATAAAAAATCCAATCCTAATAATATCGATTATAGTTTTACTAAGTAATGTTATTTAATATAAACTTTATTTTTAACAGAAAAATAGATGCGTCATCTAATGGTAACGTTATAAATCTTAATCATTGATAAATGGTTATCACTTAGGTACAATTCATCATCTTAAATTGATATTATATATTCATTTCAATATAAAAAAGGTAAATAGGATAATGACGTAACTAGTTCCTTATAAGAAATATAAAGTTACATGTACTCTAAAACATTTTATACGTAACGTTGGTAATACTTAGTTAAAATCCGGTTCTTTATAAACAAAAATGTTACATTTATTTCAACTTATTATAGTACGTTATTTATGTAAAGTAACGAATTCTAAAACTGGTTAGACTTTTATTGAGGAGGAACAAGTAGGTTCTTAGGTAAATGCGCAAAAATGCGGATCTTATAACAGCTTCTTGAAAAATTTGAATACACAATATTATTAACTTTTTTATATACTGATGTATTGAAAAAATAATTGGGTAAAAGTAAAATGGCGGGTTTGAGGCGCAAAAACAATCTCATCTTCTTTAAATTTCATATAGTTACTTAATTCACATAAATAGATTTTAGTCAATCCATAGGCAGAATTACATAAGTCAGTCCCTCCGCTATAATTAAAAAAAAAATCGTGATTTGTAATATTTGTTAAAATTCGTTAGTATTTTCATGAGCATATATTTTTTCAATAAAGCATTGCCATCTAGATTATGAAAATGTTGCCGGCTGGATGTGCTCGAACTGAACTTTGTCTTTGCGTCTTTTTTAATGACTAATTAAGTGGTTAATTACTTAGTTTAACATTTAAGATGATTATTGATTATTAATATGAGGTCAAGGCGTTTCTTGTTGTCTACACAGCAACACAAAACCGTAGCATTTACTGGTAGTTTCCGACATCAAGCCACCTAATGTAGTGACAACATCCCACCCCCACTTAGACTTTTGTGTAGGGATCTTTCATGAAGAAAGTGAAAGTAGAGTATCTGCAGACGCAAAAACAGTATAGTAAATGTTTACTAATAATTTATTATTTCGTATATGAGTGTAATAATATTTATCTAGAATTGTTTATATTTATTACTTTAAATTATTTGTATAATACATTGGAATGTATAATACATTACATAATTATTGTTTGTTGTAATTTTTAATGTTTTTATAATGTAGTGATATTGGTTGAATAAACTATTTATCTATCTATTAGAGATATAATGTGGATAATAGTCTGACTGAAAACCAAATATAGTGTTATATGATAACCTAGAGGTGCTTGTAAAACAACATCAATTTAAATGTTTAACGAATAAAAGCTCATTGACAATTTATTAAACGGATTTTAACAAATCTTACGGATCCGTTCGAAAAATCACGACTTTTTTACACCTCGTAAGATTTTATTAAAAATTATAGCGGAGGGAATGCCAAATGTGATTCTGCCTATATATTTATTAAAAGCTATTTATCTTCTCACCAGGAGCAAAGTGGATTTTTATAGCATTTTTCATTAAGAATATTCAAAATCATTTATTCAGTCTGGGCTGTTAGATTACAAACACTCGTGAATGTCAAAAATGTCGAATTTTTTATTATTATTTTGTTTGTGTTAAATTTTAAATAAATAGCTACTGTGTGAAACAGTTCTCAGTATTATTTAAGGCGATTGCAGCTTAGTTGGAAACCAGTGCATTACTGTGTACATTGAACATGCCTCCGGGTGTCGATGATTGGATCTATTTCCTTCATTTCATACTGGGAAATCCTATGTTTGGACTGGACTACATATACCAATAGAAAGATAGTATCAGCGATCGCCCCTACTTGCGCTCCTGGGTTATGAAAAATGTTCTTACGAACAACTAGATTTGTTTGCGTAAGGTTTCTATAAAAGCTAAACTTGTTCTACGTACCTACTTACTCATAATTAATTAGAACGCGGTACTATTTTTATATGTCTATTAATAATTATAGATATGTAGATATGTTTAATGTAAAATACTTGTTTATTACATCGTTAAGTTTATAAATAAATTCTCGTGTGATCTGACGCTATCCTCGAATTTATGAATGTTGACTGAAAAATGTAGCACAAAATAATTAAAGTTATTTAGCGTTTCAAATTTTTTTCTTCTTATTTTTTAATTCATGGCCTATGTTGATTAAGTTTTTTGTAAACTTCAGATTTGTTTTTCGTTTCATTTGTCATTTGTTTCATATATTTCAAATTGTATAAATAAAGTGATTTTTTTTTTTCTAATAACACGAATAAAAAACTAAATGAGGCCCTTGCTGTTATAATAAAAGAAATTTAAAATTTGCTTGAAATGCGTAATAGTGAGTTGGTTGTGTGCAAGAAGTTTAGATATCTTTATTTAAAGTTCTTGGTTGCGTGGGTAGCCTTTTCATAAAAAAATATACGTAATATTTTATTTTTAGCCAGAGCAGAAGAGTATAAAAAATAATGCATTTTTTAAATATTAACATTTAATACTATACTATCCATAAAAAAATTATATCAAATTACCGTATTATATCCAGACAATATTTTGAATATCACAATATTTATAATAATTTATTGAATACCTCATAACCGTTCAGCTCGGATTAACTTCTACACTTGTTATAATAAACATATTCATGTTTATTAGAAGTATGAATATTTAACATGTTATGCACATTCTTTGGTTTGTGCCCCTTATTTTGTTTATAATATCGATTCGATCACGATATTCACTATTTAATAATCAATGGTAAGGGTAGTAACCAATCTGAGTTCTTGTTGCAAACGCGGAAGCTCTTCTTATTGGACGAAGTCTCCCATAGTGATGTTCATAAATTTATTTAATCGATATCGAGTTTTCTAAACGCTCCGACTGTCCCGTATATGTCGGCGTCCATGATTGGCGCTGGTGTTGCATTGCATAATTCTTTTAGGTTCTGAAGATAGTCTTTCAGTTCTTCAGATCGATGCCGCCATCGCCTCGCTAGGGTGTCTATAGATTCTTCCTCGCCGCTAAGATCTTTCGGCAGCACTCTAGCTGGTATGTGTTCTAGTAGCTCTTCAGCTTTGGCATGGATGTAATACTGTGTAAAGAGAAAAGAAAAATATTAATGATGACTGATGATATATTTTGTTACGATTATTTAACAACTTATTAAGAGTTGTGCACAATGAGATTACATACTTTTGTACATCCAGAAAACTATCAGATTATTGTTAAAAATATGAATTTAATAATTTATTTTATTTATTTATTTACTCTTCACAATAGTTTTCTTAGAACAATAAAGAAATTATAAATTTTATGTATATATCTGTATTGTGAAGAGCTGGTGTCTGAAATAGGTCTTTTTTACAAGACCCGTTACACAGGTCATCAGCGCTCCTTCCCGCGGATATTAATACTACTACTTTAATAGTATCAAGGCTTAGACTACATTATTATAATACAATCCTCACAAAATTGACGCAGTTTCAGTAACTCCCAATGAATAATATTCACAGACTTTTTATGCTTAATTAAAAGAATTGGACAATTAGAGATCCTTATAATGATGGAAGAATAAAATCTTCAGTGTCATCATAATTCAATGTTTTCAGCCACTTGGATACCGTTTTTTTACAATTGATTCTATGCATGGGATATATATTTAAGGTTTTATTTAATTTATTGTAAATGAATGGAGCGAGAAATGTAAAAAACTGTTGTGCATGGCTTGAGTTACAAGATTGAACAGAGCAAACTTTATTCTTACGGCGCTTATCCTTATTAAGATGAGGGTCATAAATGAATGAATAAATAATTAATTATGTATTACTATGTACATATGGCATAAATACTATATCAAAACAGGATATCATCCCACATGAAAATAGAAGCCCCGAACCCGTCACAGTATGAGCATAGATTCGCATCTATATGATGACTCTGTTCACATCATACGCGTAATAAAATCAATTGATACGCTTTTCTTTTTAAGAATTCGCAGACTTATCGTGCTGTGGTGTTCTTAGCTTAAATATGAATGTCATTTAAATATAATATCATCGGATCCATGGGCGAAATATCTTGGCCACTTGGCTACGGTTTCGCAGTAGGGAATGCAATTTCGCATGAAGGGGACTCGGGCGAGATCTCGCGAGTTTATGAATCAATACAGCGAGATCTCAGGATATGGGCATTTTTGTATGTTTACTCTTTTACTGTAATATTTATTCAAATCCTCATATTTGAATAAATTAGGAATAAATAGTAAGAATTATAGATACGAGTATTATGAAATAAACATTAATTTTTACGGGTATTTTCAATAAAGTTATATGTATTTATTGTTTGAAGCAATTATATATTTTTTATCTAAAACCTTAAAAAAGGTATTCAGAGACAATAAATCGATTTAGTTATGTTATTTATTTTTTATTTTATAAAAGTGGCGAGTAAGACTTACTAATCTTTTAATAAAACTAAATTCTGAAGCATCTAATCAAATACGATATGAAATAAACAACCTTTGCTAACACCATACAAAAGTTTAATTTAATACACAGTTTTTTATAATAACAAAAATAACAAGAATATAAAAAACTAAAATAAAACTTATTAACTAAGTTCAATTGACTATTAAACTGTGACAATTACTAATGAAACACAACTATGTGTACCCAGTGATCTATTAGAAATTAGAGAATAAATTAACAAAACATATCAATCAATTTGAAGGTTTATTCAATTCACTTCACACGTCATTATTACGAATAATTTTGAAAGTAGCTTCTTAAAAAGCACAAAATGTCCAAAGAATCTTTGCTATTCGTCTTATTATTGTGCTGGCCAGATAACCAGCCACCGAGAAGACTCTTGAAAACACAAGTACTGTAAAAGTGTAAAGCTTCGCCTTTTAATCCCTGGACTCGAATAAATTCGCGCTGCCGCACTTAGAATAAATCGTTTTTAAAACTCGTTAAACTCGCAAAATCTCGAAAATTTTTCAACCAAAATCAATCTCACTAAAAAAGGCCGTGATCTCACAAGAACGAGATTGCATTCCCTATTTCGCAGGTCTCGTCTCTAAAGAAAAGCATGCATTATAGCGATAGGTTTTTATTTGAAAAATCGCCAAATGCCTCTCACAAAGCCCAGTCTCTTTCTAACGAACATATTTCTCTTACAATTCTGATTTTCTAACTTATCAAAACTTCTGAAACATACTGATTGTTAAGGTAAATCGTTAAATACATCAATCTAAGATGAAACCCTTTGGTTGCGTTAACTCGAGTGTCAATGTCAACATATTTCTTGTTAAACGATGAGACATTAGCGTACCTAAGCATTTTTGTCTTTATCGTCATAATGAGTCATTGAAATCAGTTACTAAGCAGTCAGTTTATTAGTAATTAACATATACACTTAATTAATACCGCACCTACTTATTTCTTAACTTTTGATGATATTCTCTGACTTATGAGTTTTGTGGTTAATAGTGGTTGTGTAATGATTATTGTTTTTTACAAACAATGTAATTAATCTATTTCATGTCCTTGTAAAAAATCTACAAAATTGTATGGAATTGAAATCGTAGTCTGGTTGCACAAAACAATAAATAACATAGGTAAGCGCTATAAAATAACAATTGTAACCTAAAGTGTGTTTATTGTAATTGTAAATAATGTATTACAATGAAGAAAATCTATGACACTTTCTGTACATTAACGCAACCTTTTGCAGACACAAAACAAAAGTCGAGTCTACAATATCAGTATCGTTAGGTCATCGTCCAATACAGGGGGCCAATTCTACTAATTTACAACGATCGATCATCAATAGCGTTTCTGTAACGGTTACGTTTCGATTTTTGCTGTAAATTTGCATTCCGCTAACGTAAATTATCAAACGAACGTTTACTAAACTGAAACGTAATCGGAGCCAAATCGCAGCCGAACCAAACAGCTGTCATTAGTGTTACCAGAATAAAATAAATGAAATTATTAGTTAAACGGGAGACGATTAATGATTATTCATTCCTTCATTTTTTTATCATTTCTGTACGTAATGAATCTATTATATTCTTATTCGAACGTTTTAAAATACGGACGAAACACCCGAATATTAGCTACATTAAGAAAGTGCATACCTAAGTGTTAAGCTATAAGGGAAAATACCCAAAATTTTTATCATTATGGGTATTTGACACTATAAAAATAAGTTTCGTACTATTATCATCATGTTAGATAATAATCTAATAAAAGTTTATTTCTTAGAATCTGTAGATTTAAACAATTATATTCATCGAAAATAGAACAGATTCTCATGTAATATATTGACAGTGTGTTTAATGTATCAAACAACTATTTTAATTAATTAGTTTTCAGAAAATCGCCATATACCCAATTCTAACTTTTATTAAGCACTCAACTTTAAACATGCTTAATATTTAAAGCATAAATCCGATATAATTAAGTCTTTTAATTAACAAAAAAGTCAGATGAAATACTATAAATCCTGGCGTCGACTAAAGATAACGTCAAGCTTAAAGAGTTAAGTTTCAAAATTCAAATGGTGTTGGTTTATTTTATTGTTTATACCGAGTTTTAATTCGCAAAATAAATGTTATTATGTGAGATAAAGTAGCATGAAAGTGAATAATATGATTCCGTAAAATAAAACGGTACCTACATAGGTAGGTCGTGAACAGAAGAGTTTTGACTCATTTTCGGTCACTAACAAACTGTAATAAGTGAGGTATGCAATCAGTCCAAGACTAGGACGAGCATTAATCCAGAGGTGTATACTTTACTTTAAACAACTCCGTTTCAAAAGAATGTACAACAAAAATAATCATTAAATTTATATATTTGTTTGTACTAAAAATTAAATGTTAAAGTTAAATGATGATTGCATATGACTTTAGTAACTTCAATCCATTTAAACAGAATTCATTAAACTTCATTGAATATCATCGGACTTCATTAAACTACATGGATAGTTCATATTGTGACTTTATGGGACTTCATTAGGTTTTCATATAACATTTCCAATTACGGGCATTAGAAATTACATAATAATAATAATATATATATATTTATTTATTTGGGCATTGTTGAATCAACAACCGTAGTAGTCCGTAAAACTTAGGAAAAATGCAAAATTGCACCAAAATTAACTAAAAGTATATTAAAGTTTTTTTTATTCAATAAATGTTACTGCAGTTCTATTACATATAGTGAATTAATCGATTATTTTCCAATCGATGTTTGATTTTCATATTGCAACACCAATTCACTTTTTTTTTTTTTTTTTTTTTTTTGCTGTATGGCAATAATGTGTGAACAATTTGCCAGTGTCGAGTTGTTTCTAGGGTTTAATGTAAAAGGTAGGGAAACAATCTCATAAAATAGAAAACATATTTACGCGAATACAAATACTGGATCAAATAAGTTGCTAGTTTAAGAGTAATTGTAAATAGATAATTGGTTAATTAAAATATATAGTCATTGTTATATTTTGATATTATTTAAATGAATAAAAGAAGATAAGATACTATAATATACACATGGATATTGTAGTAAACATGATATTCGAGTGGGTAATGGAACCTTTTGTTCTATTAAGGCACCGATGAAAGAGGAACAGTCATTTAAGGGACAAGAAAAGAAAATATGGTCAAGATCTCCTACATCTTTTCCACACGCACAAAGGTCACTGCTTACAATATGTAACTTGGCCAGATGTGCAGGAGTACACACATGCCCAAGACGCATTCGCATAATAATAGTAACGGATTTTTTATCGTATTTTTTGGTAAACCATGGTTTAATACGAATATTGGGCTGCAATTTGAAATAATGTTGTCCTTTAATTTGAAAACTCTTAGGCAATAACTCTTTCCAAGTATCTAATAAATACTGTTTAGGTAAGGAAATTATGTCATTAACATAATTAAGATAGGGGTATACGTCTCCACACTTCATCGCTTCTTTAGCTAGTTGGTCGGCTCTATTATTTCCCTTTATCCCTTGATGGCTAGGGATCCATGCTAAGGAAACTGAGTATTGTAAATCTTTACATAGCGTTAGTTTATCTCTA